GTAGGTACTTAACAATTTTCCATTAGCTCCAAACAGAAAACAGTATAATAGTTCTTTAAATATACCAATGAATACTGTTTCCTAGAATCTTGTTTATAAAGTTTTATTTAAAAAGTTTTATTAGAAAACACATCTAGTTTATTAGAAATGTTTTCTATCAGATGTGCATGAAGAGACATTAGCCAGGAAAGGAACCAGCGTTTTTTGGGAAGCTTATCCAGAAGTGCAAGGCCAGACACTATCTTAGAGGCCTGCACAGCTTCCCTCTGATGAAGAGGTCAAGGTCCTGGGTTCGAATCTCTGCCTTCCTCTTCCCTGGCCTGGATGTTGGACAGTTGCTGAACATTTGTCGGGCTGTTTCCTTCTGTCAAATAGAATAAATGATTGTGAGAATGAATTAGACTAATGCTCCGAAACACACTTCSTCAGTGCCTGACCTAGGTCAAGCCTTAGGTGAGTGTGCACAGCCAGCCTGCTCAGATCACAGGGCCTTTCCCTGTACACTGTCCCSTGTTTTCCACCACTGAAAGCTAGGAGGGACTGTAGTGAGGAAGGGACTGTAGTGAGGAAAAGGGCGAGTGAGAGGAGGGAAAAGTGGTGGTGGAAGGGAGGGAAATGGAAGTGAAGGCAAGGGAGAGGGCAAAGGGAAGTGAGTGGAGCAAAAGAGTAAGAAAGGACAGAGAGGAGGCAGGAGGAGAGCTGGAGGGAGCTGGGGTGGGCTGGAGGGGGCAGGAGGAGAGTGGGAGCAGCAGCCCCAGCGACTAGTCCTGCTCCAGCAGGATCCCATCCCGGGTGCCTGGATTCCTGGCCTGGCTCCTGTGCTGYCCTCCTCCGACTTCTGCCCGCCTGGATGCTCCCGAGCTTGCCCTCCCCACCCTGTTCTTACACTTCCCCAAGACACACCGCCCAACCCCGATGCCCCGGGGAGCCCAGGCTAGAGGCACCTCAGACGGAGTTAGAGCTGCTCCCACCTGTCTTGCACACACCTTCTGCTGCTCCCGCCCTCTCTTACTCTATTTTTAACTATAAGGAAATGGGCTTTTTTTTTCCTACTACCAAATTATGATCATTTTATTCATAAATTCATTGCCGATTTTTAAAAATCTGACACTTGGCATAGCATATCAGCACTATATTTTAATAGTGAAGTGAAAAACGACATTTTTACATGATTGATATTCAGATTTTCAGTACAAGTTGTCATTTTAATTGGTTAAATTCATCCTTGTTTTACATTAGAATATTTCCATAGCATTTCTATCCAGTGTCACATTACTTATAAAAATATAGTAGTTGGCAATAATGTCTTCTTTGGTTATTGAGGTATTAAATATTCATAAGTATGTACACACACATACACACACACACACACACAGCCTTTATGCATCTTCTTTCACAGAATCCTCATTGACAAAAAAATTTTGATTTAGACAGTAGCATTTCCCTTTACTGTTGTATGAGCCTCCAAATTCTATGAATGGATTGCATATTTGGGGCATTATGAGTTTGCCTTTCTTATGCTTTTTAGTTCTTCTCTTTTTGCTTTACCTATCTGTCCCGTCCCCTAATTTCCCCCAAATCATAAAGTGGAGATCATTTATTGTAATAGTGAACCTGATACAATCAGCACAGCACACTACATAGACCTGCTTGGTAAGGCTGTGGACCACTCACAGTATCAGTGATCAGATTTATAAATGCACAGGAGATGATAACCTCAGCAGATAACCCAGAGTTGACAACAGGGAAGATGAAGAAATGCTGCTTGAGGAGGTATTGATTAAATTGGATTCAGTGTATGCCTCGAGAACTCCTCTTCATTCTTTAAGAGCCCCCAGGCCTCAGTTGTAGAAAGTGTCTCTTGTGTATTCCTCCAGCTCTCTACCTGTGTGTTTTACACTAATTATTGTACACCATTGGTTTTTAGCTGTTTAATAGGCTGCCTCTTCTATTAAACTGCATACATTTCAAACCTTAATAGGCGTAGAACTGACCTAGAATATGCCAGACATGTTTGTTAATAAGCAAATGGCTACTGTTCCTGCATCAGAAATGGCATCAATACAGGCATCCGAAAATATGGTTTAGTTAAAAAGTAGAGTTCTTTACGGAGATGGAATTCCAACAGTTAGAAACCCAGTAAGGATCTGTGAGTGAATGGAGACTTTTGTCACTGGATTCAGTGATATATTTATTATCAACTCTTATTCCTCTGCAATATAGATCCCATTGTTCTGGCAAAATATCAGGATGCTAACCAATTAAGTGACCTAACAGATGAACAGATCCTCACCATGTTCAYGAAAGGGCACAATTCTAAGTAGACAGCAGTGTCACATGAAACTTYCTGTCATAGAGCTAGAGCCATAGCACTGGTTATAAGGAAGGTTTGCTACGGAAAACCTGTTTCCAACAAGWAGTGGTGTACACACTGCTTTTTCAGAAAGTTGATCTGTGGGTGGGCTTCTGTGGCACAGGCCAGGTAATTCCAAATGGATGAAAAGAACTTCAAGGGGTGGGGGGGTAGCAAAAGTGTCCATTCACTCACAGATCCTTTCTGGGTTTCTAACTGTTGAAATTTTATCTCCATAAAGAACTCTACTTTTTAACTAAASCATATTTTCAGATGCCTTTATTGCTGCTATTTCTGATGCAGGAACAGTAGCCATTTGCTTATTAACAAACATGTCTGGCATATTCTAGGTCAGTTCTCTGCCTATTAAGGTTTGAAATGTGTGCAGTTTAATAGAAGAGGCAGCCTATTAAACAGCTAAAAACCAATGGTGTACAATAATTAGTGTAGAACACACAGGTAGAGAGCTGGAGAAATACACAAGAGACACTTTCTACAACGAGGGCCTGGARGCTCTTAAAGAATGAAGAAGAGTTCTTGAGGCAAACAGGGATGGGAAGGCTTTTCCAGAGAGCACAGGAACCTGTGATGCCTGCAGAGCACAGGACTGTTGCAAGCACAGTTGCAGATGGGGTGGCAGAGGGGATKTTGACAGGAGCAGGTGTCTGTGGTAAGGTATGGCCAGATGTGAGGCTGGAAGAACAGTTTGGCCATAGCTGAGAGTGGAGGAGGAGAGCCAGTGTTAGCCAAGGAGAGATGCTTGGGATCATCTCTCTGTTCCCTACTCTGGGAAATCCTGCTCATTCACATCAGTTCTTCCCTGACCTGGCTGCCCCCCAGGAAAAAATGCACCTCTCTCTTTTTGTCCTCCCCATGTGTTTKTGTTCATGTTATTATTTATCTCCCTGCTTTATGGTTGCATTAGCTGGGCTACTTAACAGATGCTAATAAATGTATCTTTTCTTCTTTTTTGTACCATGGATTGAAACCATGGGCGTTTAACCACAGAGTCACATCCCCCACCCTTTTAATTTTTTTATTCTGAGGCAAGGTCTCACTAAGTTACTTATAGTCTCCTTAAGTTGCTGAGCCTGGCTTTGAACTTGCCATCCAGCTGCCACAGCCTCCCGAGTCACTGGGATTACGRGCATGCTCCACTGTGCCTGGCCCATAAAGGTTTCTTAAGTGGTGCTACTCTGTAAATGAAAATTTCAGCTGAGGTGTCTTATAATTGTAAAAGTAAACGATTCTGTGATTCTGAATAATAGCATTCTTTATACCAGTCTAATTTTATTTAGTCTAAATGGCAGCAATTCTTATCTTTGACACTTAAGAACTCCTGGGCATCATAGCTTGTTTGGCATGAATTACTTTTCTTCTTAAATGACAATTGTTTAAATTTTGAAGTTCTTTGTCTATGAAAGGAAAATGTTCACATTCTGAAACCCTAAAAATAAAACACCAGAGAGATGATGCCAAAACAATGGTRTCAATCAGAAATGCCTTCTGAATTCAGTGTCTGAGAACAATGACTGAGTCAGATCCCAGTTACTAGGCATTCATTGTTTTAAACCAATTAACAGCTAAGAAACCGAAGTAATGAAATCTTTTAAAAACTCTCTATTTTCTAATGAGTTGTGATGATCAAATGTTCCTTATGTGTTAGATGCAACCTGTATGATTATACCTTATAGTTTTACAGCTTTAATTAAGAATATTATTCTCATTCTGTTAGTGGATAGCTAAGTTCTCCCAAATCATATCACATTGATCATGAGTTATTTTATTTTTGATTTAGAAACAAGCATTCTTAATTGCCATGAAACTTACTGAGATCAAATTTACTWAGACAGTTTCCTGCAAATTTCTACAGGGAAGTATAAGATTGAAAAAAAAATCTATTAAAGAAATTACCTTGCCAGCAGGCATGGTATAATCCCTGTAACTCTGGAGGCTGAGGCAGGAGAATCACAAATTTGAGACCAACCATGGAATTTAGTGAGACCCTGTCTCAAAAAGAGCCGGGGATAAATCCCAGTGGCAGAGTTCCCTTAGGTTCAATCCCTAGTACAAAAAAAAAGGAAAAGAAAAAAGAAACTGCCTTCTTCTTTCTTATTTCTGAAAAGTGGCTTTTTGTTTGTATGTTTGTGGTACTAGGGATTGAACTCAGGGGTGCTGTACCACTGAAATATATCCCACCTCTTTGTATCTTTTTATTTTGACAGGATCTCACTAAATTGTTGAGGCTSATTTCAAACTTGTGTCCTCCAGCTTCWGCATCTTMAGTTACTGGGTGATAGGCRTGTGCCACTGTGCCTGGCTTGGAAAAGTGGTTTTTCAGCTTGAGATATAGTATAGGATTAGGAAACTTCTGGAAACTCCATTTGACAGTCTGTGTTGATTGRTTCAGCAAAGTTTTATAGTATTAACTTCAGAAGCATGTTGATTTTGCTAAGTTCTTTTCTCCTTATTTGGAAACATTTACTGTTTATTTCATTTATGAGATACAGCCATTCAATAATAGAACTGATCAGTGTGTCARCATAATTTATGAGCCACTTAGTACTAATTTCATAATAAACTTTGAGGTCACTTAAAAGTTCCAGATATAAACTGTTAAATAATTTAGTGCTTGTTTTTTCAACAGATGTGAATTATTAAAAAGAAAATGGCCCAACGGAACACTGTATTTCCTAATCTTGTCACCRAGGAAAGGTATAATATATGGAAAATATGCATCTAAGGTATACTTTTCCTTTACACCAATCCCATGAGGGCTGCTAGTGGGTGTGATGGTCTTTATAAGTRAAGCTTTGTGGCTGTTGCATTATCYAAGAATAGTTTTGTCCAAGGGCAAGAGAAGTATTATAGTGTCCCCACTCCTGGTTTCCAGTTTATTGGATGCCATGGACCACTCCATGACCCCAAGAGGTGGAGATTTCATAGTTTCCCTATAGTAGGATTAAACTTTCTATCAATAGTGAAATATAACTYTGGAGGCTTGAGGTTAATGTCTCTGTTATTTAATTAATTAATTTGATTGATTGATGATTAAATTATACATACTGGGGATTGAGCCTAGGGATGCTCTACCACTGAGCTATATCCTCAATACTTTTTATTATTYACTTTAAGACAGGGTTTCACTCAGTTGCCAAGGCTGCCCTCAAACTTGACATTCTCCTGCCTCCTAAGTCMCTAGAATCMTAGGTGCATGCCACCAAGCCTGGTCCTTTTTACCTTTYTAAATAAAAAATTGGGGGCCTACATGACAAAATTGGCTCTTGGAAATACATTGCATGGACTGCATGATCTTAAATGCTTTTTAAATGAGTTGTCAACTTTTAAAAATAGGGCAATTTCACATACAAGTCTGAATTTTCTGGCTCATTTGAAAATACCAAATAATCTGAAAAGATGAACCTGTGTTCCCAGATGATCACTTATAGGAGGAGCAGAATTGTGGCTCCCTTTTAGCTGGGAAATGCCCTGTCGAGTTCTCCAAAGTCCCCATCACTCCCTATTGCACCATGCATGGCATGCTTCACTCATTTATGTCACCTGCCTGACCCCTGTAGGCATTTGACTTTGTAACCATTGCTTCAGGGGRAGGGCTGGGGAGGAGATCCTGTCAGGAGACTGTGTGGGTCAGCTGGATCTTGATTTCACAACTTGAGCTGGGGATACCACTCTGCCCGGTTCTGCCAGCCTCTTGATCTTAGAGGTCATAGAGCCTAAGCCTGTGAGCACAATTATCTCAAGATCCTGTCTGGTTAATGGAGGARACTCTTTGGGGCAGAAACCTTGCCTCAAACCCTATTTACCTTGTAGGGGTAGACAGTATGTATTTCTTTCTCTGTGAAGTCTTGAATCTGGCTTTAAGAATTATATTTTCCCAATGAGCCACTCCCATCCTSTGGTTTCCTTCTGCAGGCGAGTAAGAACCATGCCCCGACACAGCCAGTCCCTGACCATGGCACCCTACTCCTCTGTAAGCCTTGTGGAGCAACTAGAAGACAGGATCCTCTGCCATGAGAAAACCACCGCTGCCCTGGTGGAGCATGCTTTCCGGATTAAAGACGATATTGTCAGCAGTTTGCAGAAAATGCAAAACAAAGGGGGTGGTGACCGCCTGGCCAGGCTTTTCTTGGAGGAGCACATCAGGAACATAACTGCCATAGTAAAACAACTTAATCGGGACATTGAGGTAAGGTGTGTGCAAGTCATGTGGCCTGTGTCCCAATTGATCCTTATCGTCACCCAACTCTAATTCCCACCTCTCAGGCAGTGTGCACGTAGGCCTAAGCTGTCTGTCTTGACTGTAATGATCGCCAAGGAAACAGCTTGCACAAATATCCTAATTAAAGTTATTCCAGTATTTGATAGCAGTTTCTGTCAGTGTTATTTGTGTTTATTCCAAAATTGCCTTGCTGTTTATTAAATCACTTTGTTTTGTTTGGCTTTCAATGGGGAGAGAGAACTAGTCAAAAAGTTTCCTTGTAAAACCCTTCATACCTGTGAAGATAGCTATTAAATCAATTACTAGGTCAGCCTTTGCTACTCCAGATTAGATGTTTCTAGGCCATAATGATTATATATTATGCAATTTATTATTCAGAGAGCTTAGGTATTTGGATTGCTTCTCAGACTCTCCTTTATTGCTCTATTTTGCTCTGAAATGGGCCCCATAAAAAAGCCAATATTGTCTATTTGTAGAATTTAAAGGTTTACTGCTATTTTGGGGGCAGTCACAGAGATCATACAATTTAGTTCAGAAAACTTAGATCATTTAGGGCCTGGGTTTCTATTGCTACATAATGGTAATAGACTTCACATGTAATTATTAAATATAGGAATAARTGTATATGGCTAAATTAAGGAGAATCTTTGTTTCTTCTCATGGGATTGTACATTAATGGTGTTTTCTGAAATTAAGCCCCCACCTTTTTTCCATTGTCAGATTTGTGTTGTAATTAAACAGTTTTATTGAGGTATAATTTAAATACCACAAAAAACACCCATTGTAGGTGTACAATTAAATAACTTTTAGTATATTATTGAAATGTGCTACTGTCAGCACAGTTCTGTTTTATGACATTACCCTCACCTACCACAATTCACACAAGCCCTACTTCTTCCCCAGGTCAGGGCTTATCCACTTTCTATAATTATAAATGTGTCTTTTCTGTACATTTCATATAAATGAAATTATACCATATGAAGTCTTTTGCATCTGCCTTCTTTCACTAAGCATAATACTTTTGAAGTTCACACATATCCTCACATGTGTCATGTTCTTTTTGATGTCAGAGTAGTATTCTATTGTAYAGATRTACCCCTTTCTGTTTATCCATTCATTAATTGATAGATATTTGGATTGTTTCCAATTTTTAGTTACTACCAGTAAAGTTGCTATAAGTATTTGTGTACAAGTCTTTGATATGGAAAAGTTTTCATTTCTTTTGGGTAAATTACTAAGAGTAGAATTGCTGGATCTTTTATCACTATAAGATATATGTTTAACTTTTCAAAGCATAGCCAAACAATTTTCTAAAGTGACTGTACCATTTATAATCCCACTAGTAATGTATGGGTGTTCCAGTTTCTACATAGCCTCACCCATATTGTGTGTGTATGTTTTTTTTTTTTTTTTCAGTTCTGGGGATTGAACCCAGGGCCTCAAGCATGGTATACCCCAGCCCTTTAAAAATTTCATTTTGAGATGATCTTGCTGAGTTCTCTAGGCTAGCTTTGAACTTGCAATTATCCAGCCTCCTGAGTCTCTGAGATTATAGGTGTGTACCATGGTGCATCCCTACCTCTTAATGCTACCACAGTGGGGACARAGTCTCAACATGAATTTTGGAGGGGACACCATAATTTAAATCATAGCAAATGAGTATTAGTGAATAAACACCCAAATTGAGARTGAAGGCAGTTGTAGATTTCCTAGTAGAGACTCTTAGATCATCTCTACAAAGTGCATCCTTTTCAGGATAGACCCAGTTGAAGTGGCCTCAARTCTCAAAACCATTTAGTGGCAGTTCTGGGACTAAACCCAGGGGATTCAAAGCTCCAAAAATACGTTCCTTTCCCTTTTCTTCTTTTCCTCATGGGAGCTGTTCTGGAACCCTGATCTTATGTAACTAACTCTCAAATGTGACAGGTTGGCCGCTGTAGCCATTCTCTGCTTTCCGAGGATTTCTGACCCTCCAGAGAGTTGTTCATGAAACCAGGTAATTCCAGCTGTGGTTCTCACTAGTTCTCCCTGGCCTCATCATTCTGTTGGTGAGAGTTAACTTGAACTGGGATCAGTAGCAGATATATCATCAATCATTTTATGCTTTGCTAATTATTTCTCACCAAACATATTTCTTTAAGACAATTTTTTGAACCATTTACAATGCACTGAGTTTTAAAGTAATTGCAATTTTGCCGTTTTTCCAACATCTGAAACACATTTTATATACTGATTATGCCTTCCTCACCCAGACAGCACTTTTTTCCATTTCCATTTATTTTTAGAGTATGCAAATTTTGCAAATGAAAATATGATTTCTGTTGTAGAGAGGGAAAACTGAGTAAAATCTAATTCTGACAAAAAATTTACTTTGGCCATGTGAGTGTTTACTTTTTTTATAACTGGCAATAACTACATATCATAGTAAAGTAACAGCAAGAAAGTTTAGAAATGTAAGACTGCTATGAAGCACTAATTATATGTACTTGTGTATATTATGAACTTAGGCATGTCTACCCAAACATAAMCAAAATTAGAATGCTTCATGAAAYGTAAGAATTGCTATACTGTAGCCAAACTTCATCAAAATGAAATCATGACAAATTAGTCTGGGTGGCTTAAATAACAGAACTATATCTCCTRCAGTTTTAGAGACCGGGAAGCCAAAGATCTGAGACCCTGTTTCCTGGTTTGTGGGTGGCTCTTCTTGTGTCCTCATGGGGCAGAGAGCAAGAGCAGAAGCAAGATTTGGGGTTTCCTTTTTTAAGGGCACTAATCCCACACATGAGGGCTCCACCCTTATTACCTAAGTACTCCCCAAAGTCTCCCAAATCCCACCTCCTAATACCATTGCAGTAGTGGGGATTTCAATATATGCATTTTGGGGGATACAAATTGTATCCATAATCATAGTCCATAACTGTAATATAGGGTAAAAATTTTAAGAAGTCCTTATATATAAGTAGTATAAATATTGGGAGGGTGGGTATTATACAARAGATGATAGTTGAATTTTTAAAACTATAAATGTGACAATATTCCAACTGTATTTCATTCTTTTGTGTGTTTGGATGGGGCRAGGATACTGGGAATTGAACCCAGGGGTTCTACACTGAACCACATTCCCAGCCCTTTTTATGCTTTATTTTGAAATAGTGTTTCATAGAGTTGCCCAGTCTGCCCTTGAACTTGCAATCCTACTGACTCAGCCTCTTGAGTATCTGGAATCACAGGCATGTGTCACCATGACTAGCTTTAAATTATATTTCAGTGATGTGAAAGTGTCTTTTTTATCTATAGATTCTGAATTTCTTCTGAAAATTGCCTGGCATTTTGTTGTTTTTATTACTGGCTTCTACTTGTTTTTCAGTTCTCTCAGTAAAATTATACTGGGCATTTGTTTTCTAAGAATCATCCTGCAGGTGATTTTGCAATACAAAATTAAAGTAAAAACCATTCTTAATATACAGAGCTCACTCTAGGCTCTTTGACAGGGCTGATCAAATTGAGAGATATTAAATCTGCAACTGGGTAAATGTACCTAGATAAGTCTTTAAGATTTTTCTATCACATGGCTCTGAATACAGTTGTACACTAGAAAAAGAGTAAAATATGTTGTCAAACCACTAGCCTGCATGATCTTCAAGAGCTAGAACAGAGTCTTAATTTTTCTATTTTTAGTGTGTACCATGGTGTTCAACACACAGTAAGAGCTCAATCAGTGTTTYACAATTAAAGGCTCCAGGGTCTTTTGCCCTTCTAGAACCCCATAATTATTGCCCATATTCCAAGTGCAGATTCCAATGTGAAAACAGATGACTCTTGTACACTAGATCATAGTAGGTGCTTAATAAGTGCTGGGTGGAAGACTCTATTGTTTTAATACATCCCCGCCCATGATCTCCACTAGCATTTTGCCKTGTACATAATTGTATGTCATCAATTATTTATTCCCCCAAGACTTTCCACAAATTATCATTGTCATTATAAATTTAGAAGAGGTAATGTAGTCACTATGAATTATACATGTCTGGATTATCTATACTGTCTTTGGTTTAAGCACCATCAYCCCCAGAAGCCAAGTTCTGGTAAGTAGTCTATAGTCCCTTTTTGGGTGATAAGCTTTCCCTTCTGTGCCAACTTGACGGCTTGGGAAGTACTTTGTATCCCCTTGTGTCCCCTTAGAGGTTTAGTTGTGTCTTTGGCCTTTGGGGAACCAGGCAGTGRGGCCTTGTGGTTAGAATCTGGAGACCTACTCCTGGTTTTCATGTGCTCAGACCTCATGGTGTCCTGCTGGCTTGGCTTTCTGGCTTTGACCTAGTGGGGTTTTGGAAAACTATACCAAGCCCTCCTCTAACTGAACAGGTCATGTAAAGTTTGGCAGTTTAACAATTTGCAAATGAACTACTGAAGAGTTTTCTGAGCTCATGGGATGAGTGCAGTGTGGGATGTCATTAACATGTCAAGGTAGAGGTCTAAAAATGATGCTACTGTGCAGTTGGACCACAGAGGAGCTTGGCTCAGTGTGTACCCAGCACTGCCAGTGAGGAGGAAATTTTGACTACTGAATTTCATGTATTGTACCTAAATCTGGAATCTAGAAAGGCTATTTGGAAAGCATGCTGCTGAGATCTGGCCCCTGTATTCAGCAGAGGGATTTTGGTGATTTTGATTATCATCCAAATTCATTTTAACTCTACTCACTAGATTTGACTTGAGTCAAGAGAAAGAAGACAWTGAATTGAGTGGACTTTGAATATTCATTCAGTTCTGGCGATGGAAATTTTCTAGTGTAATTAAGTTGGTATTTGGTATCTGCCTCATCTTTAGTACATCTTAGCTTGTCTGAGTTCATCTTTGAGAGTGTGTGGTCACCTCTGGTACAAGCTAGAGATAGTCTCTGAGCCTTCAAYTTGAAAGGCCAGATTCTATATCATGGCATTAAATTAATTGCTAAATTTCTCAGT